GGGGAAGAGAGACAAACTCATTGTAATGAATCTGCACTATAAACGTCGGGAACAGATAGATTAGCCTAAGAGGAAACTGTTGGGAGACAGTCATAGAGACGACAGACCAGCCACGTGGTTTTCCAAGCGACCACCCCCGACCGGAAATTCATGCAGAATCATCCTCGAGAAACATTTTCTCTTGTGATTCGTTGAACGAGTACGTTATAAGTTCTTCGAGCTCAGCTTGTTACGCTTATTGGCTAATCTTTAATCCCACAGAGGCCTGTCTAGTGATTTACGCATGTCGCGCATCAGGCCTAGATCTAACTAAACATTACACGCAGTCACTCAAACTCAAACACCAGTCAGAAACCTTCTATCAAAGATACATTTCCAGTGACCAATCAAACCCCCCCACACACACAAACACATTTAACCGACCAGCCCTTGACCTATGCGTCAGTGGAAAGTAGGGTGTGTAAACGCTGCCCATCACTCTCTTTGTACGGCGTGAGGGGCACTCTCACCAAATATCCGATTTTCTAGTAAGTTCTAGGCTTGTCTTATGCAGGCTGTGCAGGTTGTAGTGGAAATTTCCCCTTGCCAAACTTAACTTGTCGACGTTTTTCGCGGATCGGAGCGTGCGTTTACAGGGAATGACCGTGCGTTTGTACGTCTAGGTTATAAAGTAAAAAAAACCCGTCAGATGATGAAAGTGTGCGTTTGAGCGGGGCGTGCGTTTAGGCGGAGACTACTGTATTGTGTGACTTGCAAGAGCCGTGAAACTAAATCAGTGATGTGGATTTTCTCTTATTGAAACATCTCTACACGTTGGGTAGGCCTTGGGATGATGTGGCTTGGTAAATTGGTTGCTTTTACTTTTAAGCACAAGGGGGCTATCCTGAAAAATGCTCTTTTGAGAAAATCGAAGGTAAAGTTTTTGGACCCTTATGTTCTTTTTTTTTTTTTTGAAAGACAAGGAAAGTTTTCTCTAATATAACCAAACAAAAATTACACACCAATGAAACCAAACTTCTCCTATAGGTAGGGCTACGTACTTTCTTGGTGTAGGTCAAGATTTCTTTAAAAATTAAAAAAAACCGAAATCCGGGAACTTAGCCCGCAATTTGTCCTTAAACTTAAAAGCGACCAATTAGTCTAGCACTCACGCTCCCAGCATACAGATTATCAGGTCCTGAATTTTTTCCTTTATATTCTTTGTTCTCAAAGTACATACACACACAGCGAAAACAGTGTAGCCTATATGTATACATGTGCACTCGTCATTCATAGTGAAAAACATTGGTGTCAGGGATGGAAGAACTAATACAATACACAACAGCAAATTTCAAAACGGGGGAAGATTCAAGAAAAATATTAATCCAACTGTCCCATTATTTTAGAACCTCCCTTGATATAGAGAGCTTAAAATTTTGTGGGTGGTTGGCGGGTGCTCTGGTATGGTTTGCTTCTTCTTTTCTAAGATTAGTAAGATCTGTTTCGTCCTTATCTCTCCTCCCTCTTTTTAATGTGTTTGTTACTCTCTTGTAACACCTCTAATTCTAATCTTCGGCACTTACGGACTTACAAGGGTGGTTGATACGGATAAAAACTGTAACACTTATTTTGTAAATATATCTTCCTCTATACTGAAGTTTTGCTTTTCAGATTTGAACATAATATTTGGAAACCAAAAGGAATTTGTCTGATGTTCATTTTAGATAAGTCCATTGAATGGTTTTGCTCTATATCGTGTTAAAAAAACAACCCGTTTTCAGCCTTGTCCTCATTTTCGTAGCATGACGCACCAGTTTGCATTAGGCCAACCACTAAAAGTTGCAACAGTCACGCCATATTGCAAGCCACAGCAGTCTAACAAGTTAACAGTAGTCTACAGATATATTTCCCTAATTTCGTTTGCCGGCTGAGATCATGGTTAAGACAGTATTAGAAGAGAGAAGGGATTTTCCTTGTATTGAACGTTACATTTCCACAAACTCTCCATTCCTGACATTTCGTAAGTTCTGCGCACCATTCCTGACATTTCGTAAGTTCTGCGCACAGTATGGAAAGAATTCTTAGGTGCCCACAAGACCTTTTGTGTCAGGAGTCAATGATGAGTAGAGAGGTTCTGTGAGTTCAGATCTCTATAGCGAATCAGGTCGAACACGCACCATACGCAGCCCTTTTTAAACGTCATCAAGTTGCAGGTTTCAGTATAGTCAAAGATAGTACATAACAA